ATTTTTCTGCACTCTGTAGCCGAAGTCCGACCAAGCTTGACCAGTGAGAACGTTTGCTCAGAGTGGTAACGGAATAGAATGGGGTGTGTAGTAACTCGAAATCGTACGAGCGGGTCTAGGGTGACTGGAACTCGTATACCAAATGTACCAATAATTTTGAATAAACTACTCATTATGTATATGAGTAGTATTGCCGGCTGAAAAAATGATATTGGAGAGGCCTGGCCTTCCTTGAAAGTCGTGTCTGTCCTATTTAACCCAAAGACACTCATGACAGTGTGGCACAAAGCGGATTCAAATTCCGCCTACTTAATTGGAATATAAGTAATTGACTAGAGCTTATTTTGGTGAAATGGATTATTTGCTACTTTGTGGACAGTCCACTCGCATACAAAGCCTCCTGGCCCTACCATCAGTCGGATGGGCCACATCGGCTTGTTTTGAACTTAATGAATATCAAGACTTATGCATCACAGGCTGGCTGTTGGGTGTCCTTTGGAAAATAAAAAAACCCTCCTCCAGCCGCCTACCGTACCCACCATTTACCGACTTAACGGACACAGGTACAGTTGTCCCGGAACAGGAGCAGATTCATCATGGCGCCCATAGCCCAATGAAATTCACTCTCACCGTTCAACGCCGCTTACCCCGAAATAATTGGCTGCAACAGTCCAGTTGTAGAGGCAACGGCATAGTGAGTAGTAGCAGTGGTAGATAATCTTGGGTGGACACAAACACTAGTGTAATCATGCGCATGTGTATGTGTGTATTCGTGCCGGCACACGTACACAGCCCAACAGAACTACCAGTATGGACAGGATGGAAACAGTGGTGCGGACGATGTGCCGACGAGGTGAATGGAATTCACCAAAAAGAGCTGAAAGAAGTCATGGTCCTTTTATGTGAACTTGTTCGGCCTCGGGTGCTCGACAGAGGAATGGCCGCTCGAGACTGGCGCTGGGATTGGTCGGTTTCCTCTTCGGGCTTCGAAGGCAACGAAGCCTTCAAGAGGCTGCAATAGGCACTGCGTAGACGCCCCAGTAACGAATACGTCTGCAGACGGAAGTCTTCTTTGTAGAAAGCCGATATGCAAGCAGAGTGAGAGTAAGAGCCGAGCTTGACATTTGAGCATAGTG